GATGATATTGAGATAGTGTGAACGTAGAAAATTTGGTTGACCCGATTAACCTTTACGTTGATCGTTATTGTACAATCATATATGATTTTGTACATAATTTTAAACTTTTTCGTATTCTTTTATTTAATTATTATTCTCTTTTGAAACTCCCTTTACCAACATACATATACATATACATATACATATACATATACATATACATATACATATACATATATAGGGTATATTTCAAATGCAACCATGTCCATTTGTACAACCAATGTAACCCAATCAATTGAGATATTTATGAAAACGATAAAAATTCATTTATTATGATTTGAATATTTATAAAAGATGAATAAAGTTTATTAATTATGATCAATACTCTATATTAGGTAACAATCAAAACTTTTATGAAATCACATATTAATCAAATTAAATGGACGGTTGAGATTGAGTTGTATTGACTGTATAAATGTAAATGGTTGTATAATAACTCACATCTTTCTCTTTCTATATATATATATATATATATATACACACACACACACACACATATAGAGTCTAGTTTATATGTTAACCAAATTTATTGTATTAACTTTATTAACCATTTTCAACCAATGACAATCCATCTTATATATAGGTTCATATTCATCTTATAATTTAATGACAAAGGTAAATATATAATTTTTTTATGTAACTCCCATATCATTAATTGGGAGTTAAAAAATCAAAAAATCGCATGATTTTTGTTAATTTATTATTGATATTGTTTTTTTTATAATATTGATTTTTTTATCTATAATGTTTTTGAATTTGTGATTGGTATAAGAGATCCGGTAGTAAAGTTTTCGGTATCGTCCAAGCTATTATGGATAAACTCAATGTTCATAATGAAGAAAATATTGTTCAAAAGTGTTCATATTATGTTCATATGTACACTAGCTGCATATCTCAACAACGGCTCGCTCCTAAATGTGTTTATAATGAAGAAACTATTGTTTACAAGCTGYTCATATTGTGTTCATATATACACTAGCTGCATATCTCAACATTGGATCGCTCCTGAATGTGTTCATAATGAAGGAACTATTGCTCACAAACTGTTCATATTGTGTTCATACCTGATTTTTTATTAATTTCTTTCGTGTAGCAGCTATTCTTATCATGTTCATAAATGCTATGCAATGTAAGTTCATATATATGTCAATTTTTGTTCGTATTTGACACAATGGTTCATATATATATATATATATGTATGTATATATATATATATATGTGTGTTCATATGGTTCCTACATTAACAAAAATAAATTAACTAAAATCATAGAATTTTTTGATTTTGTAACTCCCAACCCAACTAATGATATGAGAGTTACATAAAAAAGAAAATTACATAAATACCTTTTTCCACTTAGTTTACATATGTTTGTGAAATTGTAAATTTAAAAAATTAAAACTTTAATACGATAAATCACAACCGTTTATTGTAAGAATCAATGCCCAAGATTGGTTAGCAAAGTTATCACTACAAGAAAATGACCTTCAGAGAAGCTTTTGTTTTGTACTTAAAAGTCTTAAAAGCTTCTCTAAAGCCTTTAGATAAGCTTTTCAATTTTGTCAAAGACCTTCTCTGTGTGACGGTAGGTGAAAGTTTTAGAGAGGGTTTTCGAAGGGTGTGTTTTTGTTAGCCTTTAGAGATGCTTAATTAAGGCTTTAGATACACTTTTAAAACTTCTCTAAAGGTTAGTCAAMTTTTTATTCAAAGCTTCTCTAAAAGTATATATATTAGTAACACTTTTCAAGTATTTGTGACGGTTTGTAAGAGTTACTAAAATATACTTTTAAAGAAGATAATGGAAAAGCTTCTCTAAAAGTATATATATTAGTGACACTTTTCAAGTATTTGTGACGGTTTGTAAGAGTTACTAAAAAATACTTTT